AAAAATACATTTAAGGCGCAGCGAAGCACGCCGGGTAATTGCTAGTAGTTCATAAAGTTCATAAGGATCATTTACAATAGAGTAGTAAATTCTAATTACAACACTCTTCCTGAATTTAACAAATAGTAAGAGAAATAATAAGTGTATTGAAAGATCTTTTAATTTAATTCAATATTGTTTATATTTTTAATTCATATAATGCCCATTGCTTTTGTAAATATTTTTTGTTTTGTTTTGTCCAAAGCTTTAGTTAGCACATCTGCTTTCATTTGACTGGTTGGTGGGTATTTTATTTCTATTATACCATTTTCCATTTTTTCTTCCACGAACTTCTCTTTTATTTCAATGTGTTTTGTTCTGGCCGATGATGCACCATTTTTCGCCAACTGGATCGCGCTCTTATTGTCACAAAAAATTAAAGTCGGTTTGTTATAGTTGTTTTGAAGCTCTCTCTCCAACCTTCTCAACCAAATGGCCTCTTGAACTGCTGAGACCAATGACATATATTCGGCTTCTGTGGAGGAGAGTGCGATGGTTTTTTGTTTTTTTGATGACCATGAAATTGCAGCTCCCTGCATAGTGAAAACGTAGCCTGACATAGATTTTCGCTCGTCAACGTCACTTGCCCAATCTGCATCACAAAAACCTTTAATGTCTTCATGATTGCCAGTGAATATAAGTTTTTTATTGATTGTGCCTTTTAAGTAGCGTAGCACTCGTTTTGCCGCAGTCCAGTGACATCTCCCATAGTTATTATTAAAGCGACTGAGAACGGAAACTGCATAACAAATATCTGGGCGGCTAACTTGCACCAAAAACAGCAGACTGCCGGTAAGTTCCTGATATGGTATATTTTTCATTTCTCTTCGCTCAGCATCGTCCGTTGGGCACATCTCGACTGTCAATCGTTGATTCGGATCTAAAGGCGTTTCTACTGGATTACAATCAGTCATTTTAAAAGAGGAGAGCAACTTTTCAATGTATTCTCTTTGATCGATTGTAATTTCTCCTTTTACTTCATCTCTTTTCACTCTCATTCCGAGAACCGATGAGGTCTCTCCTAAGTCTTTTATCTTGAAGTGTTTACCAAGGTGACATTTCAACCTCTTCTTTTATGGCAGGTTGTTTGAAAACAGCAAAAAATCGTCGACATACAAAGCAACAATAAGAATTTCTGTGGAATTAATAGCATAGTAGATGCAAGGGTCAGCTGAGCAACGCTTCAGACCGAATGCTATGAGCACATCATTAATTTTCTGATTCCATTGCCGGCTCGCTTGCTTTAAGCCATATAACGACTTTGATAGTTTGCACACCATTGATGGGTTTTCAATGAAGCCTTCGGGTTGTACCATGAAAATCTCCTCATCTAAATTACCGTACAAAAAAGCTGTCACCACGTCCATGTGAGACATCTTTAGGCCCAGTCTCGCTGCTAGTGCGAACAAATAGCGTATTGATGCGAACTTCACGACCGGTGAGAATGTCTCATTGTAATCAATTCCTTTACGCTGTGTAAAACCTCGAACAACTAGGCGGGCTTTGTACCTTACTACCTTCTTCTCTGTGTCGACCTTGGTCTTGAATACCCACTTACAGTCGACCACCTTTTTATTTGTTGGGTAACTTACTAATGTCCAAGTACGATTTTCCTTGAGTGAGTTCAGCTCTTCCTGCATAGCGGCTTTCCACATACAGTCTCAGTTTTGACTTTATCACCCACTTCATCAGACACCTTATCTTCGTCTGAGGAAATTTCAATAATATTAGGTATGGAATCTTCAATTACCTTATTTTTCGATCCATTTTCGAAAAATATAACATCCCTGCTAACAAAAATCTTTTTTGTTTTTTTTTTTTTATCGTACAATCGATAAGCCTTAGACCCATCAGCGTAGCCAACGAAAACGGATTCGATCGATTTTGCATCCAATTTTTTTCGTTTTTCAGCTGGAACATACACCATTGCATTACAACCAAAAACTCTCAACATGCTTATATCCGGCTTTCTATTTAGCCATCTTTCTTCTGGAGACTGGTTATCGATTGATCGATTCGGGATTCTATTGATGACAAACGCAGCCGTCGAAACTGCCTCGGCCCAGAAACCCTTTGGTAAGCCACTATCAATTAACATACAGCGTACTTTCTCCATTAACGTTCTATTCATTCGTTCCGCTACACCATTCTGTTGTGGGGTGTAGGGAGCCGATTTCTGGTGCATGATGCCACTTGTTGACAAATACTCGATGAAACGTTGATTGCAATATTCATAGCCATTGTCCGATCGGACCATTTTAATTTTGAAATCAGTTTGCTTCTCTACGAGTGTCCTAAATTCAATAAATTTGTTCAACGCTTGCGATTTCGCACGAATCGGGTACACAAACACTTTTCGGCTATAGTCATCAATGAATGAGATGTAATATTTTGCACCGCCTAGGGAGGACACAGACATCGGTCCGCACAGATCTGTGTGAATAAGTTCAAGCAACTTCGTCGCTCTTGTGCCTTCATTGGGAAATGGTTTCCGAGATTGTTTCCCTTTAGCACAGGTAACACAATTTTTAATTTTCGTCGGTGTACCAAGAAGTTTACCCATCTTCTGAGGATTCGAATGGCCTAACCGTCGATGCCATAATTCTGAATCAGCTTGTACTGATACAGCCACTTTCGCTGCAATCGCCGCCGTCGACATATTAGGATGTGAATGGATATTCAGTTTGTACATACCATCAACTATAGCCGCACGTACCAGTAAATTCCCGCTGCTATCAACAATATGGCAGTCTTTTTTTGTAAAAGTAACTTTTCGGTTGCGACTAGTCAGCTGGCTAACTGATAGTAAATTCGCGCAAATATCTGGAACGTAGAGTACATCTTTTAGCACGATCACTGTTTTTTCATCTCTACACGCTGACAACATTTCAACATCTCCAACACCCTTCACTTCAAGCCCGGAACTATTCGATGTAATTACTTCACTGATGGCCGTTTTTCGAAAATTTTTGAAATTCTGAATGTTAGATGTCATGTGCGCTGATGCACCTGAGTCAACAAACCAATTGTTTGATGACATTTGGGCAACAAACGACGTATACAGTACAACTTTCTTGTCACCTTTCCGTGAGCAATTTCTAGCTATGTGGTCCTGTTCTCCACACTCGTAGCATTTACCTTTGAACTTCTTTATACCTTGCTTATATACTTTTTTTTATGTGCTTTCGACAGAAGAGCTGACTCATTGTTGTGTTGCTCAAAAGAAACATCTTGCATTAATAAAGTTTTTATATTATCAGCTGTCATTTCTTGGCCACTATTTTCGATGGCCATTACCATCGGACGATATTCGTCAGTCAGTCCCCCAAGCATTAAGGTTCCGACAATATCTGAATCTATTTTAAAACCGACTTTTTTTACTTTCGCCCACAAAATCATCATTTTGTTCACATAATCATCCATCGACTGACAGTCTTTTAATTTTAAGGATACCAAATGTTGCAAAACGATCACTTTACGCCCCAGACCGCTGTCACCGAAAGCCTTTTCTAAATTTTCCCATGCTTCAAATGTGCTTTGTGCTTCGGCAATGTACGAAAAATTAACTGGTTCGAGCAACAAGGTTAGCTCAGATTTTGCTTTTAAATCTGCAGACGCATCAGTTGTTGCCGTGGGCTCTTTTTCGCAATATGTCCACAAGCCTTTTATGACCAAGTAAGATTTTGCTTGGATTTTCCACGTGTCCCAATTTTCACGCCCCTTCAACCGTTCAATTTGCACATTGTTCAAAACCATGATCAACTACATAAATTAATCAATGAAATTTTTCGCAAATTTTAACCATCGACTACGAATTCGATGCTTAAACGCTGATATAATTAATAAACGATGAGTTTTAGTAATTATTTTTGGTGCTTTGGCCCATAACCTATAGAAAAAACACGTCTTCTTCTATTGCCGATTTCACGCAAAAAAAAAGAAGTTTATTAAAAGAGAGAATCTCTATATACATTTCATTTTGTTTTGACATTTCGTCTTAGTGCTATTCACTTAACAATCAGTGACACCTATCGACTATAGTTCATAAAGTTCATAAGGATCATTTACAATAGAGTAGTAAATTCTAATTACAACAGTTTCTATGTTGTTTAGAACTAAAAAATAGCGCACAATGAAAAAAACGGCAAAAAAAACATACCAAAAATTTTATAATAAGTAATACAACACAGAAATTTTTTTTCGTGCATTACCACCAACACATTCTCATTTTTTGTTTCATAACTAATACATTCTCATTTTAAGACTTTTCTCTTTTTGGCGGGCACTGATATAGATACACACATATATACATACATATCCTCGTTTAAAGTGCAAAACCGCGTATCAGCAAAATGCAAAACCGCGTATGTGAAGTTTTAGAAATTATTTTCTAGAGCGTAAAAACACTCATATTTCAAAATGGTTCTCTTTTTTATAAAGCAATCGCATTTCTGGCTAGTATATTTCAGGAGGAATGGATAAGGATTGAGCCAAGAGCTTGTATGAGCAAATCCAATTTTTGCCAGCCAATGTCAGTTACGCGGTTTTGCAGAATGACGATACGCGGTTTTGTACTTTAAACGACGATATGTATGTGTGGATGGATATGAAATGCAGACCTTCGTTTTATTGAGTTTTCTTCTAAGTAATACATACATCCATACATATTCTTATTCTATTTACGAGTGTATATTTGTGGTTTCTTATTAATATCCTTATAATGGCGAATCAAAACATTTAAAAGAAATAAAAAATTTATATGTATTGTTTTTTCTGCTTTTATTTACTCTCAGTCTTCACCAGACGCCCACTTTTCTCATTAGTCAATCTTATCCCCACTAAGTTCCATTTATTAGATATAAAAAATAAACGCAATCATTATAATAAAATAGCATGCAGATACACCATTATACTGAAAAGTGTACGCTTGGAATATACTTGAACTACACGTACATACATACATATATGTACATATATTTGTGCATGTTGCTGCATTCCTTCCAACCGAAAAGCATTTGTTGCATTACTTACATATACATATGTACATATGTATGTATGCTGTATGCATAACCAAATGCATACCCAAAACAAACGCGAAAAATAACTCCCATACAACGTCGTTGAAAATTTTTCGCGATAAGTTTATCGCGATAAGCTGTTGTGAGTGATCGCGAATGGATTATTTGCATCGTTTTTCTCATTTATGAGAGGCCGACATCGGCAATGCTCGGACTTCTCATATTCAAGTGAGAGGAAATTTCTTTGCTTTTTTCGATCGCGGAAATTTTTTTGTCGATCGCATTCCGAATGAGAGAGATGATAATTTTGTTTGCATTTTTCACTCGCGATAAAAGAATGCAAAAATTGATTTGGAATATTATCGATCGCGATAAATCTCATGAGTGAAAACGAATAATCATAAATGAGAATTTCCGAAGACTGGTTTAAATGCTTCAAAGTCCCTTGTGTTGCCGATATGCAACATCATGTTACATGTTGATAACATACCGAAATTGGTTATTGGTGGCCAGGTCTTCGGCATGAGAAAACATCCCTCTTGGTGTGAAAAAACGTCATTTCCTACCCAAAAACGTCCTATTCAAATGAATGTACAAAAAATTGTTCTTATTAGACTTTTATTATATACAAAGGTACATATGTACGTAAGGTATATTAAAATGTCATTTTGACAGAGCACATTTAAAATTCAAACTGGATTGAGATCGGTAATATAAAAATCACTTTATACATACACTTGTGATCAGCTGATTAAGTCATCACCATTTTCATCGATTTTGGCTGTTTCTCTTTTATTTCTTTAATGTTTATTATTTTTCAATAAAAGCCAAGCTCATTATATAACAAACAAAATATAAATTTACATTTCAAACTTAGTGCAAAAATTATAAAAAAT